TGTGCCCCTTCCCCATAATTCCAAAATTCCTTTCCCCATTTATAAAATGCAAAACTGATACTCTCAAAAAATCTTAGTAGAGTGCCATGCCAACACAACCTCAAGACAAACAATTACTTCCTCTTCCAAAAAGATTGCCACTTTCAAGCCCCTTCTAGAAAAAATCCAGAGCTGCCTCTGGTCCTCATCTTCACAGAGCATGGAGTCTATGTATGTATGTTGAATACACACATAAACTCACAGACAATTAAAATTGTGATAATTGTTATAAAGAAAATAAATCAAAGTTATCAGAAAATACAGAATAAGGGTCTGGGGAAGGCCTTTTCTCAAGAATTGGTGTACTCGCACTTAAGCCAAGAGCTGAAACTTAGTAAGAGTGAGCCGGGCAAGGAAAAAAGGGAAGAGAAAGAAGGATTTCTCAAAAGTCCTGAGACAGGAAAGAGCTTGGTGTGTTTAAGGAACTGAAAGAAGGCCTACTGTGGCTGGAATGAGGTGAGATAGGGGAGGAGATCTGGGGGTGCGAGGAGGGTAAAGGTGGAGGAGTTCCAGGAGGAGAGTAGGCAGGCCATATCCAACATTGGACCTTGTAGGTCAAAGAAGTTCACACTTTATTCTCAGTGATATAGAGAGCAATTGAAAGCCTTCATCAAGAGCTCTACTCCAAGTCACACTCAGTAATACATCTGGCTGTAATGTGAGAATGGATTGGAAGGGGGAAAGGGTGAAAGTAGGGAAATGAGTTGGGGCTAAAGCAGTATTTCCATGTGAGAAATGGAGGCAGCTTGGATTATGCTAGTGGCAGTAGAAATGAAGAGATGTGGAACGATTTAAGATGGATTTAGTATTGGATAGGGAAGAATGACCTCCAGGTTTTTCTGGCTTACGTAGCTAGGTGGGTAACAGTGTGTTTTGCAATGGTTGAGAAGACTGTGAAAGCAGCTGGTTTGGAGAAACAGGGCAATAGTTGAGTTTTGGGTAAGTGAATTTATGAAATAGCAGTGAGACATCATTTGAAAGTGACAGGGAACTATGGCCCAGAGTCTGTGAAGAGAGAACTGGGCTGTGGGTATATGCTGGAGAGTTATTAACGTCCACACAGATGGTCGGTGAGGTCAGCTGGGGGAGTACATGCGAACCAATGATCTTATCCTTTTTGGAGGGGTCCCAGACACATTTGTGAAGATGATAAAAGCTGTATTTCTTCCTAACAACATATTTGCATTTAAGTGTAAGGAATTTATAGACTTTCCCAAGCCCATCTTCAACTCCTGTGGATTTATAGATGACAAATTTAAACACACACACACAGTAAAACTGGGACAAAACATCATTTAGAGGACAGAAGAAGCATCCATGATAGCTTGAGAAAGAGTAAAAAGAAAAGGAGAAAGGATTCCAAAAGAAAGTTATCAAACTAACAGAAAAGTGTTTTAAGAATGGGAGGTAGCCGAAGCCGGTTTGGCTCAGTGGTAGAGTGTCAGTCTGCGGACTGAAAGGTCCCAGGTTCGATTCCTGTCAAGGGCATGTACATTGGTTGCGGGCACATCCCCGGTAGGGGCTGTGCAAGAGGCAGCTGGCCGATGTTTCTCTCTCATCGACGTTTCTAGCTCTCTATCTCTCTCCCTTCTTCTCTGTTAAAAATCAATAAAATATATTTAAAAAAAAAAAAGAATGGGAGGTAAATGCTGCTGAGAGGACTAGGAAGATAAGGCCTTAAAAAAGTGTCTACCTGCCTTGGCAACAGCTGTGACCTACGGGAGGTACTTGTGCAGGGTTAGCACTCTCTTAGGAGGAGGCAAAAACGAGTCAGGAAGAAACACTGGATGCAGGTGTGGGTGAATTTGTCGGTATTCCCTCTTGATCGTAGGCATTCCCCCCCCCCCCCCCCCCCCCGGGAAAATAGGAGGTAAGGTGATGATGGTCAGAGAGGAAGTCATGAAAGGATGGGGGTTTTGAGGATGGAGGAGGTTAGAAACAGTCTTTGTGGAAAGTAGAGTTACAGCGTACTGGGGAAGCTGTCACCTATCTGTTATCTATTACTGGGAGGCTTGTGATCATGGGTTGGGTCTTACAGAGTGAGTAGGATCAGAGGAGGAAAAGGCTAGACCCAGCATGCACAGCAGCCCAGCCCAGAACCATCTTTTGCAGAGAATCAATAAGCCTTCCAGAACTTCTCAGGGCTTGCTCTATTCCCTCTCTCCTTTTCTGGCAGCCTATAAACATGCTCAAGCCTTTCCCAGTGACTCAGTGTGTCCTCCCATCTCTGTCCAAATTCTTTTCTTTCCATACTCAAAACGTCTGTAGCAGGGAATTTTTGAAAATATTCACTTGCTCTTTTTCTCCCTATAGTTTTCCCTTGCCAGGGTGGGTTGCCTTACTCTGGGGATTTTGGCTGCCTTTTGAAGTTTGGGGCTCTCCATGGTCCTTTAGAATCCTGAGTGCATTGACAGATTGATGCAGGATGTCTTAGACATATACATACAGCCAGAAGCCAGGGGAATCTCTGCTGGATTTTGAATAGGAGTGCATTTTAGACAGTTCATTCTGGAGGCTGATTGGAGAATGTGTTTGCCTGAACGAGACTGTGAAGAGGCTGCTGCAGCAGTTCAGGGTGGAAAGGATGGCTGGAACACATACCAGCGAGAATGGAGGTAGGCATTCCATGCTTATTAAGGCAGTGGAATAGATAGGACTGGGTGACTGGAGAAGTCAAAGGGCTGAACCAAGAATGACTCACTCGTTTCCAGCAGACTGTAATGTGGACAGCTGAGGGAGGGACAGCTATGGAGGTAGAGGATGAGTTCAGTCTTGGATATGCCGAGTGTGGAGTGTCCCTGGGATATCTAGAGAGAACTGCCTGGCAGGCAGATACTTGGATACTAACTTTTGTGGGAGAGGTCAGGCTGATTTGGTAGTTGAAACCATGAGGGTAGAGGTTATTCCCTGAGATTGGAGAGGAGCTGTGGGCATAAAGTCTTGCTTTTAAAGGGCAGATTCACAATGGGTGTCACTTAAGGGTGCCACCAAAGGAGGAAGAGGCCTTATTTACTGAGAGGAGGTCAGATCGACACAAGTGCTGAGAAATGAGGAAATGGGGACAGCCAGGGTAGACCACTGGTTCAGAGGTCTGTAAGAATGAGAGAAACACTTGGAAGTTAACTGGAAGAGGCATTTCGATGGGAGGGTTGGCTTGATCGTTTTGTGTTTGGGATGGGAGAGATTTGAGCTTGTTTATAGGCTGAGGGGGAACAGCCAGGAGTCAAAGAGCCAGGAGAGGTAGAGGAGTTGGCTTAAGGCTCAACTTCTTCCAGTTTGCCCAACACTTTCACATCTTTATCTCATTCAATCATCTGAACACCTGTGAGATTTGAAACAAACAAACGGTGAGACTGAGACCTGGTGTTGGGAAGAGAGATGTGGATCTATCCCAGCCTATAGTGCTCTCTGTCCATGCTACCAGGCCTTGTGCAAGAACACTGTTCAGTTCTACACAATCCAGGGAGCCAGGAGCAGCTTTCCCCCCCTGACTCCTGGTGTGGTGATATCTGTGCTGTTGGATTCTGGGGGTGGCGTGCTGCCCCAGGTAAGGAATCCCCATGTGTCCCGGATCAGGCGTGGCAGACCTTATGCGTGCTGTGTGTGAATCAGAACCTGAATGCTCCCTGCCTCCTGGAAAATGTTCCAGGTGGGTGGCCTAGTGGCTTCTCCATGGGTCCATTCCCTTTCTTATGCTAAAGCAGCTAAGAATCATTTAACCGCAAGGTGGAATAACAATAACACTGTTAACCTGCATCCAGGGTGTGGGCGAGGTAGATTCAGAACAGAAAGATGGGGGCAGCCGGTGGCTGAGCAGGCGCTCGCGTCGCACAAGGGCCTCTGAGAAAACCAACCTCGAGATTTGTATATCCGGCCGGGGCCCTGCCAGGAGATAAATCTCCTGCGGAGGGAAGTATTTAATACCCGTCTAGCGCTGTCGGAAGAAAGTCCTTCCCGCCGGAGACGGTTTAGTGGGCGCGTGGGAGCTTTCACTTGGTTCGCCTCCCAGTCCTACGCCCCAGGCAGGCAGGGCGTGCCCAGCTGGTTGTCACATGCCACATGCGAATTAGAGTAGTTTTTTTTTTGGTTTTGTTTTGTTTGTTTCTGGAGGGTATGGGGTGCTGTTAAGGAATGAAAGATACCTGGGTGGGGAGCTAGGATCTGGTTTCCCCTCCATCAATTGCAGCACATGCTTCCTCCGTGACCTTGGCTCCGGGGACGTCAAGTTAGGCCCCTCCCTGGGCCTCAGTTTCCCTGTTCATAGAACAAGGAGTTGGACTATGACCTTCTCTTTGCACCAGGAGGCAAATTCCACCTCCTCTCGCCCCCAACTCCAGTCCCCTCCCCCCCCCCAAATCCATCCTTTATTAATAACACCCCCCCAACTCCCAGCTCTACGCGCTTTTCCTTGCCCTCGTGGGGGGGCTCTAAAAAGGCGAGGGGTGGGCGGGGCCTGCTATGAAGCCCCGCCCAGCGCAGTTGGCCCCGCCCCTCCCGTCGTCCCCTCGGCGCCCCTCCGCCCTCGGCGCGGGGTTGAGGCGACCACGTGACCTCACTTCCGGCGCGGGAGTCCCGAGCTCGCCGCGCGCTCTCCCCCGCCCGCCCGCCCGCCGGCTTCCCCGCAGCGTGATCCGCGCGCCGCCGCCGAGGGGAGGGGGGATCGCTACGTCGCCGGCGGCGCGAGGCCGTTTTCCAGAGCTGACCGCCCCCCTCCCCTGCCCGCCTGCCCCTGCCACCGTCCCTTGTTCTCGCTCAGTCCCGGCTGCACGCCGCCGCCGCCCCGGGCGCCGAGGAGAACAGCGTGGAAGACGTCCCTGAGCCGGCTCGGTCCGGGCCCCGCCGCGGCGCCTCCCTCCCTCCCTCCCCTCATCCCGAGCCGCAGCGCGTGGCGGCGGCGGCGGCGGCGGCGGTGGCTGCGGCGTCTCGAGCCCGAGCGACCCGCGGCCGCCGGCGCCGGCCCAGGGCGATGGGGCTGGGCTGAGGCGAGGCGGTGCGGCGGCGGCGACAGCGGCGGGCCGCGCGGCCCCGGTCCCCGGCCCCGGGCACGGCCCCCGGCGGCCACTGGGCTGCTCCAGCCGGGAGGCCGCGGAGGAGACGGCGCTGCGGCGGCCGGTGAGTGGCCCTGGGCTTTCTCTTTGGCGCCGGAGGGCGGGCTGGGCGAGCGGGGCTTGGAGCGGAGGAGGGATGGCGGGGATGGGGGAGGTTGGAGGAGGCGAATGGTATTGTCGGGGATGGTGGGTACCCGGGGAGCCTCCTCGGGCCAACATTGGCCATCACTTGTCGGGGAAGGTGTGTGTGGAGCCGGGAAGGGATCGATCGCTGAGACCGCGTAATGTCGGTCCGGGACAGGTGAGGCGAGGAGGAGGAATCCACGTTGTGGCGGGGAGGCCTGGTGTGGACGCGCTGCCCGGGCGGGCGGGTCTGCGCTGGCGCTCGGGGCTGGGACGGGGCTGCAGCCCTTGAAGAAGGTCCGGCCGCAGGTAGGGGCATCGGCAGGGCTCTCGATGGGTTCCTGCGGATGCTGACGACAGGGATCTGGAGTTCGCCCTTAGCCGCGGACGAGCAGTAAAGCTCCACGTTAATCACTGGCTTTTTCTAGATCCGAGCGAGGCCCCGATAGGAAAAAATGACTTTTGACTTGCCTAAGGCCTCTCACTTTGATTTTCCCAGCGAGGACTAGAAAAACCAGGGCCCTTTCCAACCAATACTTTTCCTTTTCCCCATTAGGTTCATAAATTAGGTTCTCAACCTCTTTTTTGGGTGGTGGTGGTGGGGAGGTGGGAGGTGCTGGCCAATGCATCGGTCTGGGAATTGACAGTGGCTGCCCAGTTTGTAAAGCTTTTGTGACAGGTGTTTATTGTTTCCTCTTCCCATAGATCTGACAGAAACATCTTTGACTCTTGGTGTCTGGACATAGGAGGTATGAATTACTCACGTAATTAACTACTTCCAATCACCAGTGTCTTAGAGCTATATTTAGTGGTTATATTAGCGCAAAATGAATGGGTATGGAGTCGTAAACCCAGAAACAGAAACCAGTGTTTCCTACACATGGTTCTGAACTAAACGAGTAGAACATTTGTGTATGTAATGACTATTTTAGAGCTATGAGTCAGAAGTTGGAGTTTTGAAATGCAGAAACGTTAAATATTATTGCAAAAGGAACACTATTTTCTAAAAGCTTTGTTGCTAAAGTGAAGGTTTTCTGAAACGATGGTCCTTTGAAGGGTGATTACACAATAAAAATGTTCTACCTTTGGTTAGACTCTTTACCAAGGCACATGTTTCGCAGGAATGTAAGTGGCATTCTTTTCTCAAGAGGCTTGTTGCCTGGCTGAATAGGCTACAGTTGCCAAAATAAATGTATGGGGGCATCCCATTCTGGTTTAGCAGCCCTTTTTAAAGGTAGATCTGTTCCTGGAAGTTGTTGAAATAGTAAGCCTGGCCAGTGTGGCTCAGTTGGTTGAAATAGTAAGCCTATTAATAATAGTTACGGAAATTTACTTTTGCTACTATCCTTGGTTTTGCATTATCTGCCATTAGATTCTTCCCCTCCCCCCCATTAGATTGTTAAGTGATATTTTTTAAACATTGTTACAGCAACAAAGCTTGTTTTGGGTCCAGGAATTGAGTAGGAAAAGTGATGATACTGTTTGGTTGTCTCAATTTATAAGTAGTACAGTTATAAATAAATAACAATATTAAATAGTAGTTTATTCTGAAAATAAAGTTGAGAGTTTCCAATTTGATGCAGTGTTTAAAAATGTAGTAGGAGGGCTGATTTCTTTGTCCAGGAAAACCAGGAAGACTTATTTAGGATATCTCTGGTAATTAAAAATTTAATTTACAATGTAAAATAAGAAAAGCATAATATGCTAATTAGACCAGACGACCTTCTGGACTAAGCCACTGTGCCTAAGCAGCTGCCAAGGCAGCAGGGTTTGAGCCCCTAGCATGAATTTTGTGCATCAGGCCTCTAGTTGGTTTGATAAGTTTCCATAGAAGAAGATAATTTTATAGTAGATACAGCAAAGCCTGAATGTCTAAACAGTATCTTCTGATGAGTTTTCTACTTGGTTCTGGCTTATTAGATATTAAGCTAAAATACTTCCGTTGGTTTAGTTAGCCATTAATAGCTATCTCATTTAGTTTCCCATCTATGTCATATTTCAAGAAAGAATTCTTATGTGGATAATAAGTGTGTGTTGTCAGCTATGGCATTTTGTAGTAGAGAAAGCATGGACTTGGGAATCAGACCTGAGTTTTATTTCTGACTTTCTTAGCTAGTAGTTGTTTGACTTTGACCAGTGCTACCAGTTATTGAGTAAGCTTACTGTATTCTATGTTTTGAAATATACACTTGACATGAAGTGTCTCACTTCAACCCCATTTACAGAAGAGGAAACTGATGTTCAGAGATGTTAGATTGCCCAGAGTCACATACAGTTAACCTGGTAAACCTAGTACTAGAAACCCTTGGTCACCTACAGTAACAGAGAGCTAGGATTCTGGCTGTCTTCAAAATCCCTTATACTTTATAAGTTGCTTAACTTCTCTGTTTTTCTTACTCTATTTATTTATTTATTTATTTAAAAATATATTTTATTGATTTTTTTACAGAGAGGAAGGGAGCAGGATAGAGAGTCAGAAACATCAATGAGAGAGAAACATCGGCCAGCTGCCTCCTGCACACCTTCCACTGGGGATGTGCCCACAACCAAGGTAGTACTGGAATCGAACCTGAGACCTTTCAGTCCACAGGCCAACGCTCTACCCACTGAGCCAAACCAGTTAGGGCCTATTTCTTTCTTTTTTTTTTTTTTAGCTAACAAATAATACTTAATACCTCAGAGAGTTTTGAGGATTAGCTGAGGACATAATGTAAAGAAAGTAACACTCTTCCTGTCACATAATATATAGTAGTTCTTTCACTCCATTCCATTTATTTAATAAAGCTGTGCTTGTATACTATGCTGATTTTGCAACCACTGTGAGTATAAGGTCTTAAATGTGAATATACTTTATTCCTAATATTTATAGCAGTCATAGGAGATGGGCTATGGTCAGATATGGGGGCATCCTGTGCAAGTTGGTCTTTATTCTGTGTTTTTCTCCCAGCGGTCTGGGTAATGGTGGAAATAAGAACTTTAAGCTGGAAATGACAAGGTGATTGTAATTTCTAAAATCTTGGAAGACAAATAGAATTTTAAAATTATCTTGATTGCTTGGTTTATCTAAAGCTGGTTTCTGTTCATGGGTATAATTGATAACCTAAACTAACTATAAAGTACTAAGTGGGAGACTTTGTAAAGGGACCATAAATTGGAGTTGGCAACTTGCCAATTATTAAAAACAACACATAAAAATTTTAGAACAATTCACAGTGGTAAGCTAAAAGAGGATATACAGTGTCTGATGTCTGCGTGATACATCATTAGAATGTTTGTTCGACGGGTTCGAACATATTCTGTATGTGCCAGTTAGCTCCTCTGGTTAAACCCAGAAAAGAGATAGCTGATGGGCTCTGACTAGTGTGGTTTAGTGATTAGAGTATCCCCCTGGACCACACGGAAGGGTTCTGGGTTTGATTCTTCCCTGGTTAAAGGTACATACCTGGGTTGCATGTTCACTTCCCTGCCCCTTGGTCAGGGCTTGTGCAGGAGGCAACAAGTCAGTCTCTCTCTCTCTCTCTCTCTCTCTCTCTCTCTCTCTCTCTCTCTCTCTCTCTCTCTCTCTCTCTCTCCCTCCTCTCCTCCCTCTCCCTCCTCTCTCTCCCTCTCTCTCCCTCTCTCTCCCTCTCCTCCCTCTCCCTCCCTCTCCCTTCTTCTCTTCTCTGAAAAGCAATGGACAAAAAGAGATGGCTGGTAGGATTTAGTTTTGGTTTTAGAACATAGTTTGTCTGTTTGAAATGAAACTAACTGGCATACTGAGAGAGTAAATCTTTAGTCATCAAAAAATCATGTTCTAATGAATTAACCTGACTTGTGCAGAGGAAACATACAAGAGGCAAGGAAATAATTATCAGAGTCTTAATTGACTTTTGTTGATCTTCATATTTTGAGAGTAAAGAAATAAGGGAGGATCAGAATTGGGGTGCATTTTTTGAGATTTAGGTAAAAAAAGTAAAAGGTGCTGGGCATATTTAACATGGAGAAAAACTGCTGGTATTTATAGGGTGGAATGTTCTGAAGTTAATGGTAATAAGTAATTATAAAAGTTATGATTTAGAAACATTTGTATTAGTAAGATTAAAATAGATGTAATGTGAAGTGTCAAGAAAAATGGTAACTGGACAAAATGATCCTTGTTATAATAGTGAGTTAAAAATTAGGGTAGTCAGAAAGAAGGGGGAAAAATGGAATGAAAGAAAGAGAGAGCTGTTCAAATAATCAGATGTCTGAGAATGAGGAAAGTTGAGGATAGGGATTGGTGAAGTTTCCATAGAACAGTTCCCGGAGAGAACTATCCCAACACCAGATCTAGTAACATCTTTGACCCAGAGGCTCATATTGGGGCCTTTCCTTAGTCTGAGATGGTAAAACATTAACTCAAATAGCAAACTTTAAGACTGCCAAATTAAAAAAAAGACTTATGTATCACAGCTGTCTCCCCAAGGAAAAAGGCCATATTAAACCTATGGAAACAACTCCTGTGAAGCATGTTCCTTTCAAGGTACGGGTGAAACTGTATCTTTTGTCTCTTCCTATCACCAAAGGTCACTCATACTATTGGTAGTATGAACTATGTAAGAAGCACCCTATGTTTGAAGTCTGTTTATATGTGTGAGATGGGATAGATTGAGTTATAATTTCTTAATCAAAATTTCCCTCTTTTGTTGACTCTCACTTATTCCCTATGGATCTTGCTTTTAAGTGATCTATTGACACTCAGATACTAGTTAGATAAGGAATTAAATTTCTGGGTAAAGTGAGTTAACAGTGTAAAGTAGAACTTCTGATTACATAATATGGAACTTGCTGATGTCTGTAGAATCTTTCTCAGAAATTTTAAGTAAAAATAATTATAACTGTTGTGTTATATGAAAAACAGTTCTACCTCAATGATAGCAAGTTAGATTAATTGGCTCCTATTTTATTTAATTTTTCACAAAGTAATTGTGAAATAAAGAGGTATGGGGTTGGGCTAAAACCGGTTTGGCTCAGTGGATAGAGCGTTGGCCTGCGGACTGAAAGGTCCCAGGTTCGATTCCGGTCAAGGGAATGTACCTTGGTTGCGGGCACATCCCCAGTAAGGGGTGTGCAAGAGGCAGCTGATCGATGATTCTCTCTCATCAATGTTTCTAACTCTATCCCTCTCTCTTCCTCTCTGTAAAAAATCAATAAAATATATGAAAAAAAAAGAGGTATGGGGTTGGAAAACAATAGTGCTGAATTTTCATAGATAGGTCATAGACTAGTCCCTTTTTACAGAAAAGGTAGTAACTGATATCTGGAGAGGTGAGTGAATGCTACTAAAGTATCTGGGGTTAGAAGTTTCCTCTTAGTTGGGTATTATTCTTTTCACCCTTGCCTTATTTTGTGCTCTAGTAATGGCATGTCTCAAAACTCAGTGTGTGTGTGTGTGTGTGTGTGTGTGTGTGTTCCAACTGAGAACCAACTTTTTTTTTAAATTAATATATTTTATTGATTTTTTACAGAGAGGAAGAGGGAGAAACATAGAAACATCGATGAGCTGCCTCCTGTACATCCCCTACCGGGGATATACCCACAACAAATGTACATGCCCTTGACCAGAATTGAACCTGGGACCCCCTCAGTCTGCAGGCTGATGCTCTATCCACTGAGCCAAACCGGTTTTGGCATGTCTTTTCTTTTAATTATAATGTATAAAGTAAGGTGTAAAACTGCCATTCTCTGGAGCATTATTTCAATCCAAGGAGAAGCAACTTCCCCACCCTGT